CCTCTCTAACGGTGTAAGAATTTTTAAAATCGAGCCAGTAGTTTCAGAGTTATTTCAATACATAAAAAAATACTATAACAAGTTTAAACTCTATAATATTAGTATTGATGTAGGTCTTGTCTTATCAGGGAATGTAGGGCGCATTTAACACTTTTTGTCTCACAAAGCTGCCTTGTGGAATGGTCTTTCTTCTTAATGACTCAGGGTATTTCAAGAAGCGAGCAATTCTTCAAAAGCCGGCAACGCATTTTCAGTTCCTCTGGTGTCCTCTGATTTCAATGGACGACGTTGACTGCCTTGATATTCCCGCCGCTTATTTTCCCACTTCTCTCATAAAAAGGCGATGCAAACCATTCTATTCTAGAAATTTTGAGATCTGTTCTATGAGCAATTCTTTCCACTGCTGCGACTGTATCTCTCTTAACAATAGCTATTGTCAACAGCCAAAGTTTTGCCAATAGCCCTGTGGAATAAGGGTCTAACATGCTTAGTGTTTTCCTACAGGCGCTTGTTATTATCTAAATTTGTTAGGACTTCAGAAAGTTAAACATGTAATCGTTTTATTACATTTTTTCCTTAATTCGCTGTTGATCTAACTATGCCGTAATATGAGCATTCGTTGTTTTTTTACACGCACTAAGCGTGAAATTAGCGTATGCAAAGAAATGCGCACGTCACGCGACGAGTTAATGACACAAGTTAAAGACGATTTAATTTGTTATTATATTCCACTAAGTGTTCATGGGCAATTTAAGAACTGTCTAAACTTTAAATAATGTTGCCACTTTACCTGTGTATTAAGTAAGTATTTAAGGGTCATAATTGGTCTCCTAGAGAAGTCGGTAAAAATAGGAAAAGGAGTTTTTGCTTAAATACTTTTTTCCTTTTTGCTTTTTTTTAATTTGTTTTTAATTGTTTTCTTATTGTTGTTGTTCTAATTTATAAGGACGGTTACGTATTATAGAAGAGATAGAGGAGAGAAAACAGAAATTTAATTCACAATTAGGTAGGGACAGCGGAAAAAAGGAAAAAGCATACTTTTATAATCGTTTATTACAAAAGATTATTTCACTATAAGTGCATTACTATTCTATGTTACAAATTTACAGGCAGAATTTTTTTTTTTAACATTTTGACTAAAACATTCTGTGACACTCACCCCTTCAACTTTTAATATAAAATTTAAAATATGTTGCCCATTAATTAACAATTATTTATTTAATTTATATTCAAAATCGTACTGACCTTCATTATTAAAGTTACTGCTTAACCTTAAAAAAAATAAAGTCCAAACACTATGCTCACGAATATAATCTATGGTAATGTCATTTTCACAACAGATTATGCAAGTTTTCTCTACCCTCTACACAAAAAATAAGAAAAAAAAATCGAATTATTTTCACTCGATTATTCCGTTTTCAACATCGATGTCGAACGGTGGTTAAAACGATGTGCGGGATGAAATAGGTCACTGTTCGCATTTATAACCATCCCCACTTGATGTTTTTGCTTAGAACATAGAGGGGTATGAGACGCTTTAAATGTTAAATATAAGAAAAATAACATTAATATTTTTAAAAGTTGATTTAATTTAGCATCAATGACGTACAAAATCAATAAAGTGAACTTCAGTAAAATTTTAAAATAAAAAGATTAATGTCATATTAAAAATGGTAAAATTTGGAGTCGAATCCTTCTTATTTTTTCTACATGTGACACAAACTTCAATATTAACTTAGCTGTTATGAATATCAACTAAGGATCTTTTTAGTTACTTACAGAATTGTATTTGCAATTTACTTTTTTTTTAATTTGAGTGCTCAAGCACTCAGTTTATAGAGTACTTTATTATAGCTTATGGTAGGAAGCATGTTAAATGAGGCCCGACAAATAGGAAGTTAGTCAACTGTCAACTAGTCTTATTTCCGCTTCCGATTTTAAACTATGATTATTAGTAGCTAATCTATCCTGGTGTTGTCGACTTTTCTAGGATGTTGTATACTTAAGAGTTTCAAATAGTTTTCTAAGACTCTACTTAACTTTGCGTCGCGCCTTACAAAAGTGCGTATGCACATTACGCATTTTAAATGTATTTATTCTGAGTTTAAGGAACATATGGTTGACAAAGAAAGTTAGAATAACGCCTACTAAAACATTTCCGCAAAGTTATATATTTGACAAATTAGGTACGCATAAAAAGTTCAGGTTAACATTATGGTTTCATAAAAGGAAAATTAATGTAAACAATAATAATTTGTTATGAAAGAAAAACAAAAACCACAATTAATTTTCACTTATTGATATTCTTTACTAATTAATACTTTTGATGGAATTTAAATTTAATTTTTAATCTGTAACAATTATTTGACAGTTGTAATTTTTACCATCTCGACAGCTAAGATCTGACATTCGATAAAAACTGATTAGAACCGATAGTCTTTTTGTTCATAGTTTAGCATTAGCAAAATGGTATTTGCGCCCCCGGGTGGGCTCGAACCACCAACCTTTCGGTTAACAGCCGAACGCGCTAACCAATTGCGCCACGGAGGCTATATCTATCTATTTATAATCTATATAGATTATATGTTTGTATGTACCGTCGTGTAAACAATTAGATTATCTTTTTCATTGGCATAAAATAAAATGCAGATATTCTTTTTTTTTATTTTTATATCTTAAACTAGATGCATAACATTAAAATCATCGTGACACATTATACATATTGTAACCGAAAATCAAAGACGGCTCACCTCACTTTTTTGTGACTGAATGGCCACTGTTTGCCTTTAAGAGGCATTTACAGATTCACCGGGCTTAAGGCGGCGAGCGCAGATGGCGCTTCGCCTAAACCTTTTATGAGTAACAGCTCGAGGGCTATACTTCGTGATTATTACAGGATTGGGACGCCACCGAGCTCTTAGATCGCCTCTGTGGAGGATCCATAGAGTGACTAGGCACAAGGGTCCCGTTCTCAACTTACGTTTTATCCTCCGGAGACAGCATCGACTAGTTTCTGACTCATCTTCAGGGCGAGTATTAGCTTTGTTCGCCCTGAAGATGGACTCCCGAAGTCCCAAAACTAGTCGGTGACGTCACCGGAAGATGAAACATGAGTTGAGCCTCCTTAATTTTCGCCTAAACTAGATGTACTAATTTATCATATCAACAAATGCTTATCGAGTTACTTTGATTGTTGCTGATATCTTAATTTGGCGGCTATAATTAAATAAGTAATTGGTTATTCAAAACATAGAGTTACGTTTTTGTTTTAAATTTAAGATAAGGAGACCAGAAGGGCCTTGCTAATTGTGTATGGACAGTTCACCTTGTAAGGAAGGTAGGACACTGGATGCGGTGCAAAGGACAGCTAATTGTGAAAAGCATTGGGAAAGGCCTAGTTCCAGTTGATGTGGACTGTCATAAGTTTATGATGATGATGATGATGGTGGTGGTGATAATGATGATGATGATGACGTATGTTTTTAAAAGACAATGGTTATGCTAATGATGAATACAAGAAGCAAGAGGAAATATTCAACTTTGTTAAAAATTCTTACTAAAATAAAAAACCATTTTATCCCTCATGTTTTATTTACAAAAAATGTCTTAACTAACAAATTATAAATAATTTTATTGAGCACTTTATTTACAATCCGCTCTTTTTTATCTTGTAAAATTAAATATTAAATATTAACAGTCCGCATATTAGTTAATTAAACATTTTCTTTCTAATTTGATTTGATTTTTTAATTTGTTACGCATTTGAACTTTGTTTTTTTTAAACGTACTTGGAATAAATAAAAATATTTTATTTAATTTCTTAAATAAATATTTTTATTATCCCATTTAAATTTCATAATTAATCAATTATTGATTTTTTTATAATATCACTCACAATTACTTTCAATATAAATTCTTAAAAATGTACAAAATCATTCATCAAGTATCTTAAAACTATAATTACAATTTTCCCAAAGATAGGGCAACATTTCGACTGAATTTAAAAAACATTTCGATATGCGAAATTCACATTTTAAACTCTATCTACAGGTGATAATGCTGCAATTGCTCTGCACCGAGCGACGCGCCGTAATATGGTATCTCTGGAAAATACAAAGATTATATAAATAATTGTACATTTTTTAATTAATGTTACTATTTACAAAAATAGAAAAATGTACATAATAGAAATAAGTACGAACAAAACCATAGGTAGATGAAATATTTTTTTTATATTTATACACAGGATTTTTGTAAAATTTAACATGATCGAAAGACAATGTTTTTAAATGTGCATAGTCATGTAGATAAGTAATAAAAAGCTAGGTCCTTATATTCTAAACTTGTTGATTGAAAGGTGAGAAAAAAGTGTTTTTTTCAGTAAGATATAGAAATACTGAAACCTGAAACAGTAGACGAAAAGAGTATGTTAAAAAATTAACGAAAACAGGCTTCAATTCCCAATTATCCTGAAATTATTTTTTATGTTCATGAGAAGATATTTAAAATAGATACTGTTATATACATAGAAAAATAAAACGAGTATTAAGAGTAATATACAAAGAGATATATGTCAACAATTTAGTAATTTAAAGCAGATTATTATATACAGTTTCAGTCATTTTGTCGTTAGTTGAACCATGCAAATTGTAGAATTTGAAACATTATTTCTTGATAGAGAACTTTAGTTCACTAAATGATTAATTGTTTAGTTAATTTTATGGAGAGAAATACTTAGACCAGATCGTTAAAACGTTGATTGACGAAGTATATAGCGATTAAATAGATGGCTAGTGCAACATTTTTTTCAGCTAATTTTAAATATAATTATAAGAAACATTTGAAAATCTGATTACACTGTTCAATTTAGTATTAACAATTATTCTATCACTACAAATTATTAAGGAATTAACAAATGATATCTACAATATGCATGGTAAGTCAGTCCACATACCTAAAATAGTCAGTCGTGTTCAAACTTGAACGATCTTGTTACCACGAAGGAAGAATTTGACGTCTGTTCTTCTGTTAGCGTCGCTGTCAGTCGTTGTTCTTGCTGTAGTCGTGGTAGTCGTAGTCAGATCTAAGTCAGGGAGGAGTTCGGCGGGTAGGACACCGACGTCATTGTCAGAGGTAGGAGTCGGTAGGAAAGCTTTCCCTGTCTTCATTAGTATCTCCTCAAATCTATCTTTATTAAACTGAGGAGCGTCGTCTAACGATCTTTGGACATTATTGTTCATATATGCAGCTAATTTACTTAAATTACGATTGATCTTTTGGATTTTAGCTGGTGTTAAACCTTCCTTCTTGTATAAAGACGGGACTATAGAATGTTTAGAAGTGGCATGAGCGAAAGGTGGTTGCGGATTTCTTGGGTCGTAATCTAAGTAAGCATCGGTGGATGCGGGTTCACCGTACGAGTCTACAGCGCCCCAAGTCATTGGTTTAAAGTCTGGTAAAGGTGGAGGAGGTATTGCTAGATGCTGAGGTTCTGAAGATTGTAATGACGGGGAAGCGGATGTGAATACGTCTTTAACAGCTGTGTAGACTGTATTAAGTATGGATGGAGGAGGTTCTAAGGGTGTGTGACCGACTGAATGTTGATGCGTTTCCCCGTGCGCTGCGTCGCCGAGTGGCGCTAGTATCACGACGCCCGCGTGCACTCCGGCAAGCTTCCCTCGTCCTGTCTCAAAACAACTGCAATCTTAGTCTATTACGTCATCAGTTACGTCACTAGTTCAAATGATGTCTCGAATAACAGACAGTTGCACCTTTCTAATCCGCTTTGAGAACATCGCTCTAATGATTCAGTGTCTAGATCATTTCGATCGTAGAATAGGAAGGAAAGTATGTAACGTATTGGTTTGTTGATATAAAGATTGCGTAATTCAATGTAAATTAATATAATGCTTATATTTCTGATAGAGTAATGTTTTCTTAAGTCGTTACACAATTTACTAAGCAAATTTATTGTATATTTAATTAATCTTATGTCTGATTTAGGTGGAATTGTAATTTAAGTACTTGTACCAATAATAAACTTCAATTTCTGGTATGTCATTATGTTATAGTTAACAGCATATCATTACGGCTAAGTAAACTACTTTATGTTAACTTAAACGTAAGTTCTTGTGGTAAATTACACGGAAATGCAATTAAGAAGTTAAGAGGTACATTACTTAGTCTTACTTAATTTCGTGTACAAAAAACGCGGCTATATCTATTGGTGTTTGTTAAAAAAGAGTTAAAAACGACTCAAGTGACTACCATCGTTGTTTTAAGAAAAAAAAAGTATAGTTTTTTTTGACACAAAAACAAACTTAATTGTGATCTAATTTTAAGAAGGCCTTTTCACTCATTGTAATAATTTATTCTTACAAAGACTAACGAATATGTATAAAAAATATTAGGTAATATAGTTTAACAATAAAACGATCGTATCCGGTTTTTGGTTAATAATTTAGTTTTTACTAAACACTTGAAAAACTATCTATTCAGTATAAATAGACCGTAGTGTAGATGACACGATTTGAGTTTTCGAATAAAACCGTTTGATGTAATAAAGAATATTGTTGGTATTGTAAATAGTTATTTCCTGTTTTATTGTGAGGTTTATTTCCGAAACTGTTATGTAATTTATTAACTAGTTTAGTATTCTTTATGGAATTACGTCCAATGGATTGAACTACATGATATCAAAATATTAAAGTCTTAAGCAATTTATTGAATCGATACTATCGTTTTAAACTCAGAGCAACACTTCTCGTCAGAACTCAGGATCACGCGCGAATGTCAATCCTTCTAATGACATTGACAGCTGTCAGAGATATGACGTTTATGCCAATAATACAGTGTTGCGCCAATTCTACAGCGCAGTACTAATTATCTTCTTAACACTAGTCATGTTATACATTGTGTAAACTATGTGATTTTTCCCTAATATTGGCTAACATATCACATTTGTTTATTGTATCGTATATTTCACAGGAAACTGTTCGAAATTATGACATCAAAGCATTGTATTTGATCAGATAATATAGTTCCGATTTAGAGATGATGTAAAGTCCATTCAAGTTAAAACCCACATTACACGAACAATTCATTCTCACGATTTTGCAAAGATTAGTGAACGTTGCAATGATTGCAACTGCAATGATTCAATTATGTTACATTGCTATTTTTTTTAGGTTATTTGTGCAATATAACCTCTTGCATTTAAAATAAAAATTAATGTAATTTTTAACACAAAAATGTAAAAATTTAATATCACGGTTTTCTACTCAACAATAAAAAGGACGTTATCCAAAAACATGTTTATAGGCATTAAATGTATAATGAAGACTACGTATTCCGAGACATATTCACATAATAAATTCAGTCTTAATACAATGAAAGCATATTTTGAATGCGTGTGGAGAGTGCATTCTTTCTACTGAAAGTGATCTTTCCCATAACGTAAAGAATCCAACATAATTACACCAATTATAAATAATAATGTATGTGATTTACTTCGCTATATTAAGATTTGTTATTTTAGAAACAGACATCTTGTCTCATACGATCTCGTTGTCATTTTACTGGCATTGTGCACGCATTGTGCCAGTTACTGGCATACCGGCATATATATTTCCGCCTTTATTTGATGATATACAAGAGTATAATTATGCAACAGAAACAAAGAGCGTGTTAACAAGGAAATATAGATAAAGTTACTGCTTTCATACATTTCGTAATCCAATTGAAACTTAAACTGGGAAGGCAGACCGCTAACGGGGACACAATATATTAGCAAAAGGGCGTCTGTTTGTGTGAAAGTGTCTTCCGTGTGACGTAATGATCCAGGTTAACCGCTCTCGTAACCCACAAAATGATATCTATACTATTATAATAAAGCGTAAACACACACTTTGTTGCCTAAGATGTCAGCAATTACAGCATATTTTTGAATAATTCTTTTTTTAATAAAAAGCCCTACACTTACGTCACGCTTTAGGCTATATATTTTTACGCCATTAAATTTAGGGATAAATATTTTGGATAAAAACCCTAATGTGGGAAAGAGACCATAAGTTGCTGCCAACATCAAGGAAGTAAGATTGCCATGTCATGTCAGTTTGACATTTGGTATTGATAATTTGACAAATGTGAACAATAAAATAAAATTTTCATAATGTCATGCGGACGAAGCCGCATGGGAATAGCTAGTTAACTATATATATCTCTAATGTTCATTTATCTAAGAAAGATCTTTTAGGGAAAGGACTAAAAAAACAAATTATATTTATCTATACTAGTAAAGAGAAAAAATTTGCATTTTTGTATGCATTGAAAAAATTCAGTAACTACGAGCCAATTAAAAAGATACATTTAACATTAAAAAGCTATATTATCAATAGGTAATGTAGGCTATGTTTTTTATTATCTTTTAATTTCACGAGGACGAAATCACGGGCAAGTGTATAAATTAATTTTAAAAAGTTGGCAATACGTTACATCTTTATTGCCAATAAGTTACAAAATTGTCTCACGCCGCCAATTTTGCAACTAGATATAGGATTTATCACGAAGCAATGTGATTTGCATTTATTCTAGGTTAACTATTAACATATGTGTTTACACAATTGCTCTAAAACTTGAATTATTATTAAATGTATAGTTTAAAAGGGCGAATAAAGCCGAGACAGATTATGTAATTGTAGGTTCGAATCCGACATTCAATTAGAGTCAAGAACTATATTCTAGCAGAAACTAGCTTACGTGAAATTGAATAAATATCGATATTTCTATTAATTGCTATTATTTAAAATAGAACAAATGTGAATTACTAGTTTTCGCCCGCGACTCCGTCTGCGCGGAATTAAAAAAGACAAAAGTAGGTAGCCTATGCGTTCTTCCTGACTATCCTCTGCATCTATGCCAAATGTAATCGAAATCGAGACTACAAATTCTAACAAACATCCATCCATCCATTTTAACTATATAACTTATTATATAACTTTTACAAACACAGAATATGTCGTCAAGTAAATTAAATCAAAAAAATTAAAAAGTAGAATACAGTTACGAAACCTTAAAAAAAATACTGCTGATAAATATACATACACACATGTTGTAATATCATGTACATGTTTTTTTGCTATATTCAGTAACAAATTATGTTCTGTATTTTTCCTTCGGTCACTATATTTACGCAATATATCGAGTGGACACGCGGTATGGGCGAGTGTCACTGACCTCATGCACTTTCACTCAGGGAACTCATATCCTCCGGTATCGATAGAACCATTTAACATTTACGATTATAATGAAAAAAACTAAAATTAAATTATCAAACAAAAACATATTAATATTACATTTTAATCTAAAGATTCTAAGTCGAAGCACCAATAGCTTAATACTTAGTAGTACATTATCCGATCGCGTGGACAAGAGTTCGAAACCCGCCATTCGATTATTGTAAACCATATGGTAGAGCCTCAATTGGAATGGTACAAGAAATACTCGTAACTAGCTGTTCCCGTGCGGCTTCATCCGCATAAAATTATAAAAAAAAATATTTTATTATTTACATTTGTCAAATTATCAATAGCAAATGTCAAAATGACATGACATGACAAACCTTCGCAATCTTTCTTTCTTAATGTTGGCAGCAAATTATGGTCTCTTTCTAAGTTTAATGGCGTGCAAAACATATAGCCTAAAACATGACGTAAGTGTAGTGCTTTTTATTAAAAGAATAATTGTTCAAAAACATGCTGTAGTTGCTGCCATTTTAGGCAACAATGAAATGTGTGTTTACACTTTATTATAATAGTAAAGATTCAATAAAAAACTGCAAATATTTAAAAAAAACAAACACAATTCACTTATTACATTCCAATAAATGTTCCCAGTTTCGAAGTAACACCTTAAATTACTTCAGTTACATTAGTTACGAAAAACAACGAAATCAAAATGCGTTTCCTTTTTGATACCACAATTTGTTACGTCACCACAGATACGTATTTCCGTTCGAAATGGAAAGTGAACGTGAAAAGCAGCCAACCAAATATCGAATCGAACTAGGACATTGGCGATCGAAGAAAAATATATACACAAAAGATCGGCAAAGAAAAAAAATATATATACAATGATATAGAAAAAAACAGATGTAATCAAAGTGAAAAATTACTTTTCATTGATAGATTGCGTGAAGGGAAACAAGATTAAGAAGGGAGTGACATTTAAAATGAATAGGGCGACCCTAGAGTAGGAAAAAGAAGTGATGAACAAATCCTTTAAAAGAATAATAGAGAAACAAAGCTTATTACAGCTTTATGAGTTTTAAAATATCTTTTCGTTAAATCTTACCAAATAGAATCTATCAAATCATAATATCTATAGAGTAATTCCGGTGAAGGCAAAGGCGGCTCTGGTATGTCATAATTTTCATGAACAACCGATGACATCACTATTAATTCTGAAAATTTCAATTTCATGAACAAAATACATACGTATTATGGTAAAATGTTATTTTATGATAACCACAATAGTATTTAGTTGGAAACAATAACAGGAAATATATGGGAACAGCTGCATAATGACGTTTGTAACGTGAAGAACCTATACACACAGGAAAAATGATAATGAAAATTCACTAATTACAATTTATTGACCTATATTATATGTATGAAACAATAATTTCTACGGAAATGTGTTACATAAATTTATTTGTTGCATAGCACGTTTTTGTGATTAAAATAAAATGTTCTTAACACCTAAAATTTGTCATGAATATTTTACTTGATGGCGCCAGCAGTCTATTTAAAAACAGGATATTTAATTTTAAATTGAGTACTCTGAGGAGTGTATCACTAATGTTAGTGAGGATTTATTCGTAAGGTAATCGACAAAGTTTGTATGTGATTTATTGGTACTTTACACATGGTAGAGACGCCGCACAAGTTGTACGCCTAATTTTAGTGCCTTTCCCTTTCCGCCCTTTTCTTAAGTGGAAAGTATGGGAAGTAAAAGAGGATTTGACGGTGGAGGAGACGAATAGGAAGGGAAGCGTCTTCTTCTCCGTCAATTAAGTAAGCAACGCATTTGCAGTTGCGCATGTTTATGGGCAGCGGTCGCTATCCATTTCGGTGGATTCAGGTGGCCGATTGCTCGTTTGCCACCTTATATTATTAAAAAAATGCAAATATCATTTATGTCGTTAAGAAAACGTTCTTACAAATATTCATAAAACTAATTAGGATATCCTGTGCGTGATTTTAATATTATATCTCTACTTATTGAATCCATACTTTAATGCCATATTTCAAGTTGAAAACATTTACGATGGACGCAATAAAACATCTTCGGACACGATCGTTAAAACCCCGACATTGCTAAACTTGTATGAATGCATTTTACGATTTATTTCACAATTTCAATGAATATATTTGAATGAAATTATACAACATATTTTTTTGTTTCACTAACACACTTAAATAGTTTGTTTTGGATCTTTTGTTTTTTTATTATCGACGATATGTAGAGGTATACTTTTATTGTTGCAATGAGTATTACTTTGTTTTAAATGGTATATCCCTTTATTTTATATGAAAAAAAAAAAATTGTTCTCTTGGCATATACAAGAATATCATTAGTAGTTGAACCAAATTTTAACGCTAAAAGTTTTAAGAGCATCAGAGGATTGCAAATTAAGTCTGTAATGGTTAATTTTTTCTACATTCATGGCATATACCTCTCTAATATTTCATAATGCAAATAATGCGGAAGTGCTACAGCACATTATTCTGTACGCTTAGTTCCGGTGATGAGACAGGCTTTGCTTATATAATATATACATCTATGTGAACCTTAACACTTGTAGAAAATATGTATTTAATTATGTTTGTAATTATAAAGATTATGTGAAAAATTAGAAACTTTTTTTTAAAGAAGTCAAAAGTTTCTGCATTTATAACATCTTATTACTAATAGAAATGTTATTCAGTGATTTTATTAACGAAGAATTGTTTAAATTCTTTTTTTTATCTTTCTGTCCCTAAGATTTCAATATTAAGTCATATTTATTTAAATTAGAGAAAGTGAGTTTGTAATTTACATGAAAAGGCTTTCGTAAATTAAAATTTACATTCATAAATATCGTTCTTCGTTAAAATTATTTCAGTATCTGTGTTAAACGACATATTGCCGTTAATATTATAATAATGATCCTATGAAATTAATAGTTTTATGTAGGAAATTGATTTAATGTTCTTAATGATAGGTTAATCGTTGTTTGGTTACGAAGATTGTAATCTATATCATAAAAAGGTAGTAGCGACATCTTTTGCAAGAATTGATTATTAAACGACTGGTGTCATCTGGAAATTTATACTGTCCTATTTTTGTGACTAATTGCAATTTCTTTTTTTACATAATTTAAAATGACGAAACACGATAGACACTTACTAACCCTAGATAATAACTAATTCGAGGGCTCTCTTGATAGAAATCCCTTCCTCAAGATTCTGCCTCTGAATTCGCTAGATGAGTGAATATCGAGTAATTTAAAAGAGCCATTTACAAGTTAACTAGCTTGCGCCTACGACTCCGTCCGCTTCGAATTAAAAAACAATAGTGAGTAGCCTATGTGTTCTTCCAGTCTATCCTCTACGTCTATGTCAAATTTCATAGAGATCCGTTCAGCAGTTTAGGCTACAAACTCTAACAAACATCCATCCATCCATCTAAACTTTTGCATTTAGAATATTAGTAAAAAGTATGATATGGCGGTGATCTGTTTGTTTTCTAGAACTTACCGTCGATGTGCGAAGGATATTTATGCGCTGCGAACCCTGTAGGTGCTGCGAGGGCGGAAGAGGTGTGCGGGTAATGGGCGGGCGCGGTGGGCGCGGCGTATGCGCTAGGCGGTGGACCGTACTCCACGTGGGCCGTTGGTGGAGCACCGTATACTACCGCTGATGAAATTATATGTCATAAGCATACATGATGTTAATCGTATTCATCATCTTGCTCCTTATCCTACTCCTGAAGGGTCGGCACAACAGGGTTTTGTCCTCCACGTAACTAGCATATCTTGTCATCTTTCTCGCAACCCATCTCTTTCTAGGTCTACCTCTACCGGTGTACCACACCCATAACTAACGTTCTCCTTGTTGCGATTCATCCCTTCTCATAACATATTCATACCATGCAATAAACAATCATATTCCGAGAGTAAAAAAATCTGTAAACGCACACTTATATAATAAGTTTGAGTTATAAATATTTCACACGATAACGTTAAGTAAACAATACAAAATTATATTTAACTTTGAATATGTTATGTAAGATGTACACGTAATGTACAAAGGATTTTTAACAATGCTTTCTTTATCCAAAAGAGAAACGATTATTTAAAAAATAATAAATATCAATTTCACAAGCATTTGTTTTTATTGGAATGACAAAACAGAAACATGCGAAACACGTTATTCGCATGTTTCTGTTCTGTTAATTGTGAACCTCCTCGATTCGATACCAACGTCGTACTCGTATATTTTCCCTACAAAGGGACCTAATCCTGTCTTATTAATTTGTTACAGAAAAACTTTTCAATCCTCACCTGCTGGTTTCTTGTGACTTAAAGCCGCAGAGCTAACGATCTTCTTTCCTAGATTGCTGACCACATCACCTTTAGATGATATCACCCTGCCTAGACTAGCGGCTAATGCACCTCCTCCTTTGATCAGCTGACCCTTTAGTATCGTCACTCCTCCTGTTATAGCTTTCACTGCTTGGAATAGAGTGTACAAGATTGACTTCTTCAAACCCCAGTAGTCAACTTTTTCATCGTGCTGTGGAAAATAATATTACTTTTAAGGAGTTAAAATACATCATTTGATTTATGTACTTTTATATGTAAATATGTTTATTTAATCATACTAATATTATAAATGCGAAAGTTTAGATGGATGAATGTTTGTTAGAGTTTGTAGCCTAAACGGCTGAACGTATTTTGATGAAATTTTGTATAGAAGTAGATGATAGTCTGAAAGAAAACGTAGGCTTCTCACTTTTGTTATTTTTTAATTCCACGGCGACAGAGTCGCAGGCGAAAGCTAGTAGGTGTATAAAAGTGATTGAACCTGGGTACATATATTATGCTCCGATTCGGTCAACTGCACCTCCAAGGCAACTCAGTTTATAATGTTAATAGATCTTAAAGATGTATTCCTAAGTATTATCTTAGTCATAGCAGTTCACCACTTACCGGTTCATAGGAATAGCCATGTCCCTCTCCGTGTTCTGATTTACTGGAGGCAGAGGATATAAATGACGCGGCTCCGGCGGACGCCTGGCCTAGTAGGCCTAGCTTGCTCTGTATACCAGATGCTGCTTTCGACGCGACCGCACTTAATGCTTGAGCAGACGATCGCTTTGTCCTATTGGAAATGAGGCCGTATGACTATGAAACTTTTAGACAATAATATAATCGTACATCTATTTCGATATTCAGTCTACTGATTCCCGCTAATCTGGCGATTATCCTTCATACTTCTGATTGATATTGACAGATGTCATAAGGATGGGACGTGTATGCTAATGATCAAGGTGTTGTGCCGCTACTCCAGCAACGTGCCGATTTCTTCTTAACAAAAGTTACCTCATAATTTCTTCAGCTGCGAGCCCCTCTGCTAATACTTCCAGCTGCTGTGGTGTCATTCTGCTAATGGCTGCCATATCGATGATGTCGAGCTCGAGAGGAGCGCGCGGTGCGGGCGCAGCGAGCGATGTCGCCATGCAGAACAGACACACCCATACCTGGAACAAAGATAGTGTTACTCAAAGTTTAAAGATAATGCATTTATTGTATTTTATTTTAGAAAGACATTGACACATACATTTTTAAGCCGATTTCTAAATTATGTTCAAGATTTATTTCTGCCAAGTAAGTACTTATGATACCAGAACTTATTATAACAAAAACAGTTTATTTACGGACAAACTTTAACTATTAATAATGCATTTTCTCTACCACAAGTTGACAGAAAACTTGATCATAAGACGACGAGTCTATTATCGTATTTCTATTGCTTTCATTTCTCACTATTGTATCTAAGAGTTTTTAAACTGCATGATCTACCCGTGTACAGTAACTTGAGTTCAACAATTATGACGTCACATTAGCCCGAATTATACATCTGTGATACCCTTTTAGCTATGCAAGGTTATACTCTTCGTCGTCTCCTTATCCTTATCCCAATCAATGGTGTCGACGATCTGGAGTTTAGTCTGCTACATGGATTGGAAACCTCGTTAATCGTATCACGTATCTTGCAATTTATCTCTATCTACAGATCCGGTACGTGCCTTGGAGATCCCGGAACCCACTCCTATTGATTGAGGTTGGACACCAAAAAGGTTTAAGTGGTTCGAATCCCTGAAAGGCAGGTTTTCTTTGGTCTTCTTCTTTGAAAGGTTTTCCCTCCAATACCTACTTGGGTACCTTCATGTTTATTTTTTTCATACGCAATTCTACTCTCCACAGAAATCTAACAGCATCTAAATCAACTCAGGAAGTATAGGAGTGCGTAAATAAACGTAATATTGACTGCTCGGTGCGCGCCACAAGCCTTGGCAGTGAAAAGCGAAAGTTGTGACGCCAGTATCACCTCGGTCGCCGCACCGATGTCTTTGGGGGCTACAAAACTAGCGTATTTATAAGAAAAATAATGGTATATAATAATGAATAGAAATACTACTTAAATTTAAAAACAAAAGGAGCGAATTAGTTGTTATATGTACTTGAACTATGAAAAAAAAAGTATGTTAACATCTGTGTTTTATTTCTCATACGTAATTTTCAATATTACGTAACAATTACGAAATCGTACCTAAAGTATTATTTATGAATTATATTCATTATTGGTTGTTATTTTAAAAACATAAATCAGTGAATTCCCAAAAAGTTAATAATAAATAACAAATTCCATGATTCACGGTTTCATAGCCCCACAATTATACGTGACGTCTAGAAACTTCAATACCTGGATTAGTTCGGAAATATTATTCAAGGAAAGATTTAATAAATTATTCGAATTAATAATTAAATTATAATAAATTAAATTAACTAATTCTTATGATAATCGATCAAGAACTTGAATTAAGATCAAACTCTTACATTAGCTGTTAAATTTATTGTTGTATGAAATTGTAATTGCTGCTCAATTTATAACACTAGCCGTTCCCATGCGACTTCATCCGCATAAAATTATAAACAAAATCATTTTATTGTTTACATTATCAATTGCAAATGTCAAAATGACATAACATAATGTCAAACCATGGCAATCTTGATTCCTTGATGTTGGCAACAACTTATGGTCTATTTCCCACATTAGGGTTTTTATCCAAATTATTTACCCCTAAGTGTAATAGCATGAAAATATAGAAATTAAAGCGTAACGGAAGTGTAGGGCTTTTTATTAAAGGAAGAGTTATTCAAAAATATGCTATAATTGTTGACATCTTAAGCAACAAAGTGTATGTTTACGCTTTATTATATTAGTATAGAAGTATAAATAATACGCATTATAATAAATGAAAACATTTCCAGCCAGTATTAACACTGGATTTATAAAAGTACTTTAGTCATGTTTAAACTTACGTAAAATAACATATTAAAATCACAACAAGTTACCTAATAACTTATTTGTTCTTACACACTCATTAATTTCCCAATAAGTGTAAAAACATTTCTTTTTAAATTACTTAATATTATTTTGATCAACAAAGTTCGTAATAACCAAAAAAATTGCTTAACTGGTTCTGTTACGGATTTGACCTCATAAAACTTTGACCTATAGAAACAGAACTTGCTGTATCAAAACGTGAAGGTAGATTTTAAAAAGTAGTTCTACAGGGTGTTATGCAATTCACCATTAATTGAATGAATTTAGGTTGATTGTCTGTGTTTCGTAATAATCATAAATTTTACTTCCTGCAATTTCCTCATATTCGTGAGGATTATCGGTTTTATTACATTTAACTGTTACATAGTTAAAATTTTGTTTATACATTTGTTTGTCCCATCTATCTATAAAAAGCGTAACATACACTACTTTGTGGATTAGGATATCAGCAATCATCATATTTTTGAATAATTATATCTTTAATAAAAAGCACTACACTAACGACACGCTTTAGGGTATGTATTTTAACGCTATTAAACTTAGAGGGGTAAATAAATTGGAAACAAACCTTTATGTGGGAAAGAGACCATAAGTTGCTGCCAACATCAAGGAAGCAAGGTTGCCATGTTTTTTTTTTGACATTTGCAATTGATAATTTGACAAATTTGAACAATAAAATGATTTTTTTATAATTTGACGCGAATGAAGCCGCACGGGAATAGCTGGTAAAAAATAAAAAATGCAATACTCGTATAGGATTGAAAGTTAACTCTAAATAAAATGTTTAGACATACTTTACATTGTTTTTTTTTTAAACAAAATTGTTAATATATCACAGGAAATAGACAATAGCCACTTTAGTTCGTTATTTCAAAATTCACGCTAGCATGGCACTGTTGATTACTGTCTGTATTGTTTATGGCAGCACATGTCACTTATGACACCGTGTCTGTTATGCTACCATAGACCTGTGACAAGTTGGGAAACATTTTTTTATTGTAGCAATCTTTTGTAATATTTGACTATCTTTTTATGCAAGAATTCAACACATTTACGTAAATTAGTCAATAAAGACTATTGAATAATTTGTATTCTGATTATTTGTGAATTTTCTAAGTATTTGACCTTTAAGTTAAAGTTAATGATCAAGTTTAAGTCAAATACGTGTCATATTTTATTGTATGCGGCTATCGTCCAAATCTGAAACATTTAAATATGTAACAGCAACTTTAATTGCCACAGATTGTAAGCGACGCTTACAAAGCGAGTTAAGATTCGTTTCAGTATTCTGCCGTAATTGATATCTAGTTATATCGATGCTTAATAAATGTCTTCATCTATATCCAATCTTTTTGAGATGAGGACAAAATTGCATTAGAAAATAGCTCCGGAACAGTAACTAAAAATGTAATTTCGAACGGGCCGGCTCGCCCGGTGTAATACCACGACCACACAGAAAACAGGCGTGAAGTGGAAGCAATTCCGCGTTTCATCTGATGAGTGTGGCGCCGGAGGCCTTATTTTAGTCCCTTTCTCTATCTACTAATCTCATGTTTTGTTTACACATGTAGAGAAGTTTTTTCCGGTAGACTTTAATTGTAATCGATCTCGACCCATTTGTTTCAATGTTTAGTAGTTTGTTTTTGTTAAATATATTGAAATTAAAGTTGTACTTTAATTATATTATTCGTTGACTGTGTGTGTTATGTATTCATTTTTTTTTTTTTTATAATGCATAATCTGATCCCTTACATACGGGTTAAGTTACTAATAGCAAGTCAAACGAACTTCCTCATTCGTACCGTATGTATAGCAGATTTACGACAGACCGGATCTCTCTCAACTTCCAAGATAAACGATTTTCCCATTTAACCAGTTCGAAGAAATACTTTCGTGACATTTTATATCTTACGTAATATAAAATAGAGGTTAATATCGCTTAATAAACATGAATTGGTAATTTAGGTTGTAAAAATCAGTAATTTTATTTCATGATTATGTTTTCATGTTTAACATTTTTTTTTCTACAATCCTTCGTTTCTAGAACATACTTACGCTCAATTTGACATTCTCCAGTGTAATAAATAACTCATCACGTTTGTATTTCATGTCCAAAAATATGACTACTAAAAAACCAGTTTCCTATACTACAAAAATCTCTGTTGAATTAATGGTTAGAGGTTTCTTAGAATTTAGTGTATATTTTACTAATGTATGGAGCATTAAATAGAAAACTTTACTATTTATGTATACTTAGATCTGTATGTGAGTCTATCGCGGCACATTTCCTCATTCTAACCGCTAAGTACAATACTTGTGTTTGTCGACTGTGAGTACCTTCCAATAGAAAGTTAGATAGCTTCCTCAATGTATAAAGTTTCAATTTTATTTTACTCACTACTATAATTACTACCATTTTTGTTAATCTGTATATACTAGATTAATAAGACTCCGTAGTTATATTTAAGCTTTCACTGCCTTTCAAACTTTAAAGTGCTTACGTAGTCCTGTAGTGTATTTGTGTTAGTGCTTTATTACGTTAATTTGTAAAATTTTATTACCGATGTATACTAAATTTAAAATCAATGAAGAGTGTTTATTTAAATATGGAACACGCTAAAAAAACAAGTAGAGCGCGTGACGAAGCGATTACTTTTGACAGTTAGCGTGTCGTTACATCAGAGCGCCTGCGCATTGTTGTACCGCGAACGTAACAAAGCAGATACGAATCTCACTCGAGCTAAAAGGAAATAAACATGGTCATACCGTGAACACATTTACTCTGTTTCTACTAATTATGTTTGTAATAGTTCTACAAAGGGAGAATCAATACTTAAAAAACAATTTGACTTCTATTTTTTTATCTCTCTAGACTTTCTTTAAGACTCATTTTTTCTTCTTTTTTTTAGGTGTATAACTTAAACTTAATACTAAGTTGCGCTTCTTTCAGTCGGCCCATAGACGGTATCTTTTTTCACTACTACCATAGTATTGTATTATCTGTGGTTCAAACTCAAGATGAAACGATAAGTTCAATTAGAGACTAGATACAGGAATCATTGTACCACGGATAAATTAATTTACATTTCAATAGAAACAAGCAGTTGAGAACATCATTATCTCCTTATA